GCCGCCGGGCCCCGGCGGCGCCGCGAGCGCGGCCGCGCAGCCCGCAGCCCCCGGGCAGCCGGGCCAGGGCGACAAGCAGCAGCAACAGCAGCAGCAGCAGCACATCGAGTGCGTGGTGTGCGGCGACAAGTCGAGCGGCAAGCACTACGGCCAGTTTACCTGCGAGGGGTGCAAGAGTTTCTTCAAGCGCAGCGTCAGGAGGAATCTCAGCTACACTTGTCGTGCCAACAGGAACTGTCCCATTGACCAGCACCACCGCAATCAGTGTCAGTACTGCCGCCTCAAAAAATGCCTCAAAGTTGGCATGAGACGGGAAGGTATTGGGATTTCATTTGTTTTCCATATCTTATTCACTTTTTTTTTTTTTTTGAATTATTGTGACTATTGTGATTTCGAACCCCCCTTTCCTGAACCCAGCCTCCCTCCTCCCTCCTTCTTTCTCCCACCCCCTCCCCGAATAAACAGAGAAAGTTTCGGCGGCTGCAGGGAGCGCTGCGGAGGGTGGCTGGGGAGGGCAGCAGGGCAGGGGCTCCCGCATGCTCTGCTCCCCCCGCTCTCCTAATTGACTCGTGTTTGTTTTGATTCCGCTGGTGGAGCTGGAAGTGGATTTTTAGTTTCACGCCGCTTTGCAGGGACATGACGGTTCTGACGCGCGCTTCTTTTCTATTATTATTATTATTATCACTATTATTATTTTTAATATCCTCCCTCCTCCTTCTCCCTGCATGTCCAGCCTGACCCCCGGCGCCTGCAGCAGCTCTGTGCCTACACACACAGACAGACACGCACATATAGATATAGCGAGAGATATAGATAGATAGATTTTTCCCAAGCCTCAGACTGCAATTTTACACAGGCGGTTCAAATTACTCTTACAATGGGGCTCAGCCTGACGAGGCTCCATAGCTCTGCTTCCCAGCTGGAGTGTGCGCCTTAAAAAAACAATAATGTATGTTATAGATATATACACACATATATATGCATGCATAAGCGTGTGTGTGTGTATATATATGTATGGGTGCATGTGTATGTGCGTGCATACAAATCGGAGCGCGCCCGCGGCCCTTCCGCCTCCCCGCCCGGAGCCGCGGGGCAGAGCGGAGCGAGGCCGGGCCCGGGATGGGAGCCGGCAGCGGGAGCAGGGCCGGGCCGGGCCCGGCTCCTCTTTGTGCGGCCGGAGCGGCGCCAGAGCCGCTGTCAGCGGCGGCCCTGAGGCCAGGCCCGGCCTGGAGCTGCCCGCGGGGCCGGCTCGGGGGAAGGCAGCGCGGGTGGGGGGGCCTCGCCTCTCTGTTATTTGTTTTTATTTCCAAAAAAAGGGGGGAGAACCCCCACGCCGTGCGCGCTAGCAGCGGGGCGAGCGGGACGGGGTTGGGAACCGAACTGTTTCCTCCTGCCCGCCGCGCTGCTCCGGCCTCGACCCAGCACGCCGTGCTGTCCTTGTGGGCATTTTATTTTATTTTTATTACTATTATTATAGCTGTAATGGAGGGAGAAAAAAACAAAAACAAACCGAGCCGGGCGCACAAAGCCGAGGCCGGCGGAGGAGGCAGCGCCCGGGARGGCGGATGCGGCGGCGCCGAGCGCGGCGGCGGCTCCGGGCCCCGCTGCGGCCCCGGGCCGGCCCGGCCGAGCCGCACGGAGCCGCCGCGGCCCAGGAGCCCCGTAGCAATTCAGATATTAATAGCTGTAGTTTCTTCTTTATTCACTGCAGCGGTCCAGAGGGGCAGAATGCCACCCACACAGCCAACTCACGGGCAGTTCGCCTTGACAAACGGGGACCCTCTCAACTGCCATTCCTACCTATCCGGATATATCTCCCTTCTTCTGAGAGCAGAGCCCTACCCCACCTCCCGCTTTGGCAGCCAGTGCATGCAACCCAACAACATCATGGGCATCGAGAACATTTGCGAACTGGCGGCTCGGATGCTCTTCAGCGCCGTGGAGTGGGCCAGGAATATCCCCTTCTTCCCAGACCTGCAGATCACAGACCAGGTGGCCCTKCTCAGGCTGACCTGGAGCGAGTTGTTTGTGCTCAACGCTGCCCAGTGCTCCATGCCCCTCCACGTCGCCCCGCTCCTGGCGGCCGCCGGTCTCCACGCGTCGCCCATGTCCGCCGACCGAGTGGTCGCCTTTATGGACCACATACGAATCTTCCAAGAGCAGGTCGAAAAACTGAAAGCCTTGCACGTCGACTCCGCAGAGTATAGTTGTTTAAAGGCCATAGTCCTCTTCACCTCAGGTAGGCAGCCTTTCTTTGCTCTTATTCCCCCTTTTCCCACCCAAAAATAAGCACCCTCCCCCGGTGCCTTGTGCAGGCTCCCCACAGGGCCCGGGCCGCGCATCCCSGCGAGGGCGGCCAGGGATCCAGGCCAGCTCGCGCCTCGCTCCATCCTCCTCCTCCTCCTTCCCCGCCCCGAGGAGCAGGATTTTATTGAAGCACCGGAGCTCGGGCCCTCTAATGACACCCGTCCCAGCAGCAGAGCACTCGGGGTGGCGGGGGTGAATGCGGGGCGTCCTAGGAGCAAAATCACTTTAAAAAAGAAAAATAAAGGGAATAATTGATTTCTTTTTAATGGGCAGACAAGAAGGGACATATATATATAGAAAAAAATGCAGGATTTAAAAATTATTTTAAAGAGAGTTACATGTGCAAGGCTGAGTTTAAAATACACTCCCTGCCATCTCGTAAAATAAAATAAATCAGCCTCCCCAAAGAGCTGCCTCTGATTCAAACAGGACGTGGCAGCGAGCAGCTCCGTGTCCCCGGCGCTCAAGGGGGAAAGGGGAAAGTTTCCATTTTGCACCCAGCAGGAACTGGCCAAGCCTGGGGCAAGCAGCGGGTGCGCGGGAAGCACGAGCGGGGCGASAGGGCGAGGGGGCTGCGGCTGCCGCGACCCTGTGCCCGGGGAAAGAGCTCGAGGTGATTCCTAGAGAATCCAAGGGGAAGGGAAGGAGGGGGGTGGTGGTTTATGTGTCAACTTTTGCTGCCTTGAAATAGTGCATGAGTTATAAAGCAATAATTGAGCGCGTTGTGAAATCTAATTAGCTTGCACTAGGGTTTAACCTGAGTGAGTAATAAACCTGATATTAACTCTGGAGGCTAAATATTTTTTTCCCCTGAAAAAAAAAAAAAAAAGAAAGAAAGAAACCTTGCTTGCTAATTTGTGCAATGCGTTATCTCTGATTGCGAACTTTAAGGTTGCATCGGCAACACACTGTGCTGGAGCCCTGCAAGTTTGGAGATTAACTTTAAATACATATATATTTATTCTGTAGCCCATTTGAAAGCTTGGGAAAGTGGCCATGCGATAAACATATGAATGGAAGTAGGACCTGTAAAATAATTACTCATCGGAGTTTTTTAAAGTCTGATATCAGGAAACAGGAAAAAAATGTAGTTTATGTGGGAAAAGAAGGGCTCACAATCCGCTCCTTGTTGTGTTAAAGGGGGTCTGGGGAACGAAGTCATTTTCTGGACTTTGTCCAGGTTCTGGGTCGTGACCTAAACTTCCTTTTATATATTATTGCTCTACACATAAAAAACTTATTCCCCCCATCTCCCCCCCCCTTCCCCAAAATTACTTGTGCTCCAGCCCTAAGGTGATCAATTAGGAGGGCGCATCTTGCCGGAGGGGGGACAGGGAGCCGAGCGGGGCCGTGGGGCGCTCATTCCATTTTCCGTCCTTTTTCCAGGACGCCTTTTCCTCTCCTTTCTCAAGAGCTCAGCTAGGATCGCTCCACACACACCCATCCTCAGCCCCTGGCCCGAATCCCCCCACCTAGGGGGGTGCCGAGGAGACGGCTCAGCCTGTTCCCCCAACCCCCAAATCACTTTTTTTTTCTTCTTTTTTTTTTTTCCTCTTTTTTTTTTTTTTTTTTTTTT